CACACCATGCGACTTGACATCAACCTGTTCATGACTGATTCAGGACAATCTTACAAATGTGACACAGAGATATCTGTGCCCCTGAAGGACAGAGTCACTCTCAAAGTCAGCCAGCTTCAGGTCCAGGCGTTTGACGTGCAAGGTGATAAGTTTGGAACGCCCAAGAGATGTCCTGCGGATCTCCCCCCACCCCTGTCCCCACCATGACCCCCCTGTGTCCCCACATGCCTCCCCCGGGGAAGTGGGTGGTGAAAGATGAGAAGGGGAACCCCTGTCTCCTGGCAGACATGTCCCTCCAGCTCCGATCACGCTACACCACTGTTGACAACACCACGAGGGTCGGCTGCATCAATGTCCCCACTAACGCTGAAGCTACAGGCATCTGTGGCCAAAACACATCCCAACTCACCCTCTCCTTCCACGTAAGGCAGTGCAACATCACCTTCACATTTTCCGAGTCACGAGAGAATTTCTCCAATCCTAGCAGCGTGGAAAAGTTTGGCGTATCGCAAGTCTCTGTCGAGTACTTCGTAAACGAAAACTGGTTTCCCGATGCCAAAAAGCTGCATCACAAGATGGAGGTGACCACTGCAAACCTGGAGATATATGAAGCACATGTGGGGCAGTCGTATCAGTGTATGGGACAGACAAACATCACCTTAAACACGGATGTCACTCTGTTCACCCAGGACCTGCACCTCCAGCCATTCTCCGTCAGCGGCTACGGTTTCGCTAAATCTCACGTCTGCCCCGAGGATCCCACCCCGGAACCCTCCTGGAAGGCCAACGTGGTGCCCATGGCGGTCGGCTGCGCGCTCGGAGCTTTCGTGATCCTCGTGACCCTGGGGACGTATATCGTGTACAGGCGTAGGCAGAAAAGGATGGCGGGATACTCCCTCCTCTCAACAACATGAGAGCAACAGTAGAACACCTTTCTCTCCCTGCATGTCAATTGTTACGATTTTCCTTCGATTTGCCTTTGAAGATAATGCAGATAGATACAGTGGTATCTTATTTTAAAAGGACAGGGGATACATTATGTAACTTCAAACAAGCAGCTAATAATTGAATTGAGTCCAATTTGCTAAAGGATTATGCATTAGTTTGGTAAGGATGTAGATAGGTAGAGTACTTTTTACCACTGGGAGTGAGAAACAGCTTAATTTCTGGTTTGTGTATGTGTATTTATACTTAAGGTAATGCTTCTGTGGACAATTTTGCACAAATATATCATGATTATATACATCATGGCACAATGTAAAAGTTTTAGGATATATTTTTAGTGAATGGAGGGCACAAATGCCATGTCTCGGAGGAACAGCTAAAATAGGTATTACTAAGTATGACTTAGTATAGGACTCCAGTAGGAGCTGGAATTGTTAATCTCTGATGTTATGTTTTGAACCTGGTGTTTAAAGTGAAAATCCTAAAACAAGGAGTATTTACAGCTTTAGTTGTATCAGCTGTAATATAACTTTACTGCTTTAATTTTTTGCAGAAACTTGTCCAAACTTTATTTAAGTCACTGTGCATGTTATTTTCAGTGTGGAGCTGTTGTGTCCAATGCCTTTTTTGTAAATATTTTGAAAGAACTATTTGGTTTGTAGGAGAGAACTATGTACATACCAAAAAATTATATAGTAACCATGTCTATTAATAGTATTATGTAGACATGAAATGTATATAGCTTGTGGTGAAGGTTTTTCTTCTTGGTATTGATATTGACTGGCTTTAAGATGATGATTCCTTTGTTCAACTTTTCTTAGATATAACACTAAAGTACCTATGAGAATTGGTGAAAAATTGTATCTGGAAAAATGACACGTAATGCCAATTTGATACATAGTAAAGCTTGAAGCTTCAAAGATTGAAAAAAAGACTGAAATGGGGAAAAGCAGATTAAGAGAAGACAGGTATAAAAGGAATGTTAAAACAGTAATGTTACATATTTTTTACATTGATAAAGGTATCTATTCTGTCTGTACTGGTTTTAAGGTACTGCATGTAAATAAAGCGATACATGATGCTTCTTCAAATATAATATGGAACTATTTTAGAAACTAGGGTGCCATAAAAAGATATATATTAATGCCAAGCACAAGTAAGAAGCAATATTTCACCATTCATGAATAATGGTCTTGGTGTGTGGTTGAAATAAAATGTAGGTAGTTGAAAATGACTTCAGTGTTTTTGTTCATTTACCACTAATACCAGTGAATATACTTATATGTTAAAAAGTGAAGATAAGCTTCACTAAGAGGTGCTGAGGGAAAACAACACACAACTTGTCACAAGAACTTTCACAAAAAAGAAAGTTTGAGACAGTTTATAATTCTGAATACAAACGTGACAGTCAAAATATTACATCTTTTGGAACAAAGATATTAGTAAGATACTTTTAAGTACTATATACACCACTATAATGAGGCATTGGAATTGTATGTTTTCATTAATTTCTTTACAGTTAGACCAAAAATTGGCAACTAGGACCCAAGAATTACCCTTACAATACTGTGTCTGAAAATAGTATGTAAGAATGTAGAGTAGTACATTTAGATGCCTGTGCCACTCAATATATAAAGTACTCTTTCAGAACAGAGATTGCTTTTCTTTTAACTCTCAACTCACAAACATGTACACTGAACAAGGCACTATCCATACTAACAAGAACATAGAGCTTTTGAAATACATTTGTGAGGATTGCCGCATGACCTACAATCCTAAAACTTTGGTCCAAACAACTATTAATAGTTCCCATGGCCAGTAACAGTAAAATGTGATGTAACAACAGTACATTTTAAACACAAATCTCACTACATTTTTAATTCTGTGTTCTAAAGTGCATGACCCTTTGAGTGCCAAAGTGAACTCTTCAAAATTACATCCATAACAGAATACAAACTTTACAGATTATAGTAGAGCTATAGACAAAATAAACATTGACAATGTTTGGCTGAAAGAATGGTTATATAGTTACAACTTGGAACTATTGGGATTTTGGTCCTGTGTAGAGACTAAGTAATAAAGGCAGGACAGTTTGTTTATTCAGGCTCTTGGATGATCGGCTGCCTAATCTTGGGCTTGTTAGGGTTGTTCTCAATCATCCAGTCTGCAAGCCAAGTCTGCAACAGAAAGAACAAACTGTTATCATATCTAGATCTCAAAGTAATGATGGTTTCCTGATTGGATAGCTAGTAACCAATCAGGTGGTGTAATTTCAGCTGCATTCAATTTTGATCTAATAACAAATTGGTCTATTTTTCACTATTTTATGTCAAGAGACATCATTACCAGGTGTGTGTAAGAACAGCGTGTAATATTTGGTAGTTGTCAGCCAAATACAAGTAGGCCATTGCTGAGAGCTGGGAATCTTACCACAGGGTCTTCAGGCTTCTGTTTGCAGAGCTCTGTCAGGCCCCCCAGGAGGGTGGGGTTCACGTGTCGCGCCAGGTAGTCCCGCGCCGCCTGGCCTGCTGGGATAGGTTCTATCACACCTACAGCAAAACACAACGTGCAAAGTTAAGGGACTAGTACTAGTAGTAGAAAATCAGCAGTACAGTCCCAATCCCAATACAAGGTGCTGAATTTACAATCAAAGTAGACAAGCTAATCGCTTTTCTTTCCATATTGTAATAGTACCTAGTTGTTAAGACTATTTTACCCATACCAATTAAACATGCAGATTTCCTGACGTGGCAGATTTCCTGACGTGTGTAACTTCTGAAAGTTTCTGACCTGGACCAGTACAAGGAGTCTAAAGCATATCAATACTTCACTGAAGGATGGCTGCCCTTGTTTCCACCCAATCTCACCAGATAGCTGATTCTGGTATCTGAGAGCAGAATGCAGACCATCACAGTGGGGAGCATCACAAGCAAAGCTTTGTTTAACTTCCAGGTTCTAGAATGGCGTTCTATTCAAAATGTCCTCCCTGTGACATAAGCGTGCAATCCCTGAAAGGTAAACTGGTCTATTCTAAATAGACATGGATGGGTATACATTGTATATGGATGATATTGATAACATGGAGTCTGTACTCACTGTCAGGGAACATGAAGCGAACCTCCCTCTCTGATGAGGAGTAACTGTCACTACCGTGTACAGCGTTCCTCTGGTCGTCTGTTCCATAGATTGCACGTAGACTGCAGTTAGAAAGAAAAAGTTAGACATTCTAAAGTTTCTAGCGTAGTGAAGCAAAATTCAGATGGTACCCAGGGTAAGGCTATTTCTGTGTCACACTGCTGTAAGCTGTAACTACCGGTATAAACATGTAGCATACCTGTCTGGATGTGTCTCCCTGGCCTTGTAGGTGTTGGTAGGTCCGATCAGGTCCCTCCAGTAGCCTATACACTTGTCTCGTGACAGAACCATGGCCACAATGGGCCCACTGCTCATGTACCCCACCAGACTGGGGAAAAACATCTTCCCGTAGTGTTCCGCATAGAAGTCACTGGCCTGCTCCGGTGTTAGGTGGACTTTTCTTTTCTGTAGGGAAGAATTGAAAGTGAAGAATTAATGTTTTGAGACTCATCTTTGCATAACGTTAAAGAGATTCATCCATCACACTTATACCATAGTAGAATGTTCCTCAATCAGTGACATTCTTAGAAAGGTTAAAACACGTACCTCCAAATTTTCAATGTCTAACTGTATATCTTTGCATAAATTTTTCACAACTACTTACAAAGTTGACATAAAATTATTATCTTTGAAGATATGAATTATGATGTGCCATAACACTAACGTTTTATTGAGGCATCCACAATATGTTATATTAGATAAAGTTTATAGTGAGAATTTTGCAACTGGTGACCAAGTAGTATTTCTTAGAAGTTGTAGATTGACAGAGAGAGAGAGAGAGAGGGAGACATTTTGAGTTTTGCATACTTGAGGGACAGTTTGTATACTTGACACTGTAGGAGCTCTATTTGATACTTCCTTAAACTCTCTTTGAGGTGATAAAAGCCAAACTGTACGAGATGAACCCGTTTTAGAGTGAGTTGTAATACCTGAAGAATGGTAAACCCAGATCTCAGTATGATATCTTCTATCTCCTCAGCCTTGTCGATGGCATCTGGCTTGATGAGTGCCAAAGTCCTCTCCACATAGATCTGTGGAGGGTCCATGGAGACTTCCATCTGATCCTGTGCCTGCATGGCGGCCTTGGTAGACGTGCTAGGCTGGGTTGTTGTCGTCTCGCTGTAGAGGGAAAAGTTTTAGGGAAGGTGAGTTAGTGTACTGTACGCGGACACCGTTGCTAGGACTGGAGAACTCTGTTTGGTACAGATTCTGGCACATACCAAAACCTAAACAAGGGAGAAATGTATCATTACACATTGCCAGACAGTAAATCCTCAATAAATTCTAAGTGCTACTGAATAAAAATGATATCATGTTTTCAGGAATGGAAAATTAGCTAAGATTTAGTGTCAAAATGTACTATTTATAATGTAATCAACGTATCACCCCTACAACTAGTTTGGTATTTTCCAATAGTGTTCTGCGCAAGTTCAGTGGGCAGGCCATATTTCCCGCCATGCTTTGCGCAATACCGTGGGGTTACTCGAGGTCAGGTGGTTGGAACTTTGCAGAGATGACGGAATCTGTTGTAGAAAATCAGGAGTATCTGACGTATTACTGATAAAAATACATTGATGACATAAGGATTTATGTATATGATATCAGCGCTACCGCTGGTGGGTTTGCAGATATTTATGCAACGCATTAGCTTATGTTTCATCTATTGTTCCCCCAATCATGGGAAATGCTCGTACCTGCCAATCTGGTGTAAGCGTGTGTTAATAGCCTAGAGGGAATTCGGAAAGTGTGTAAAATTGCCTTTTCTTGACACATCGCATCGAAATACACCATACAACAATACAAAGAATGATTTTGTTATGGACTGACTTTATGATTCTTTTTATGAAGTTTAGATGACTAGATAAAAGTCAGTGCCAGTAGAATGACATAATTTACTCTCCTTGTCCGACTGAGCTGTAACGTTAAAAAAAAATCACACACATAAATTTCTATTGATGAACATTGATGATGCAAAGGATTAATGATCTGACCAAAATGAAATGTGTTTAATTTACCGTCGGCATATCATTATTGATGGGTCAATTTGCTTATGCACATTTTTTTGCCGATTCACAGGAAGGGGCCTTGGTTATCGTTAGGGCCTACTAACGGGTTAGGGTTAGGGCGCTACAATAACGTTGAATGCAAAATTCATCAACGTTGCTAAACAAATCAACTGGAAAGGCTTCTAAAGTAAGAAGCCTATAGCTATGAACTTTGATTGAAGTTGCATCTGGACACCAGTGGGTCCTAGCAACAAAGGTATACCTCAACGTAACTAATCCCAACACAACACAATACTAGTAAACACAACACGCCACGACAATTTGGTCCCGATGGTGGATATTCACTTTAATAAATGTATACGTCTGACAACCCTCTTCCATCTAATCTCCAAGCAGATCTTAGGGTGAAAAAGACAGTATCCAATTGACCATGTAGTATCTATCAGTGGCCAGAGAGGGTCCAATGCGTCACCCAATTTGGGGGTAGCGACCAAAAAACCCGGACCATATATAAAAAGGTAACGATCTTCCCCAATCAACCTCTGGTTCGAGAGTATCTTCCATCCAACGCGCTTACCGTGATGTACTTTGGAAATGATTATTATACTGGCACTGAGTGCTGCGGATTTGTCATTATATGCAACAGATGAATATTGTAAACTTATCAGAGCATATTCACCTTTCAAGAACAATCTAATAACATCGGATACAGTATTTCGGCAGTGTCTGTCTTATCGGTGTCCGACCACCTGTGTTTGTGATCATGATTCAAAATGACCAGTTTACACTTTCATGTATGATTATAACATTTGAAGATAGTTTGATGGGTTGATGGGGTTAGAATAGTCTTATGAAAATAATGCCTTCGATTATAAGTCGGGACGGCTTAGAATGTTGTTTGTTTTAGATAAAATCATCACCGTTGCTAGTCTACCGTGAAAACTGCTTACCTTAGCTCTGTCAACTACTGTATATTTCAAATAAAAGTCCTATATACCAGTGGCTCAGTTATCTAGTTCATGTGTAGACTATGAATCGTTTTCTGTCCATTGGTTCTGTTGTACACATATAATTCAATTAAATCTACACACAACGACAATTTTACCCTTACCGACACTACATAAGGTTCACAACAAACTCCTACCTTGTTATATTGCTCATTGTATCCATCTTGGCGGACCTGTTGTGTGTTAGGACGTGTGTTTCCAAGCAAACACTCCTTTCCAAACGGAGATTTTGGCAACCAGTCCCGACGTTTATACAAGCCAGTAAGACAAGTTTTGGTCTCAAACAGGTGTTGTCTTGGAGACCATTGACCGGCATGTACGGGACTGGTCGGGTAGGATTCACGGCGGCAACGTCTTTAGCGGGAGGAATGATACCGCACCTAAGGAATGTCTTTAGACCAATTAAATCTTAAACAGAACATGATTATCACCAATTTAACCCTACAGATGCACTATTTACTATTTGTTAAATTTGTATTGAACGTTTGAAGACCATTTTGCTTCTGAACGTTGAAAAATTGCTCCAAGAGAGCCAGATTGGCAAAAAAAAAGGACTGGTTTTAGCTGTAATCGCTCCTGCCACTAAGCAAGACCTATTGCCAGGAGGCAATGTTACGTCCAGGCGACTCGGTTTACGTTTTCTATTCACGGCGTTTAGTCAATAAGATTATTGAGTTACTGCTGACATTTTAGAAGGAACTCTATTGTTGCACGCTTTACGGTAGCCATTGTTGTTTACTCTGTGCCTCAAATCAAAACCTGTTTGGAGGTCCAAACCTGGTCAATAGCCTCGCTCAGGGCTACGGCCTGGAATTCCTCCGCACTGTAAGTTCTATTCCCCGCCCGGTCAACTAGCCTCTACCAGGCTTCGGGAGGGGGTAGGAAGAGTCGAAATTTGCCAAATAGACTGATAACAGACCAAGGCTAAGGACCCTAGACCTAATTTATTACACATTTGACGCCTCCCGGATGTACTACTAAGCTGGAAAATTGATACTTTTTCCAGCCTCTTCCGAAGCCTGGTAGAGGCTATGGTCAGCTACTAGCAATCGCATTTGGCCTGCCTGAATTCAATTACAGCTAGGAAAGGCGGGCTGGATGCAAAGTTGCCTTGGGGATATGTTATTAGGACCTGGTACTTGGAGGAGCTGGCCCATAGGTTACAAGCGACTGGCCCCCTACTGGTTTGGCGCAACATTGCAAGAGGGTCCTCGTTTTAAAAATCGCAAGTACTCCATGCATGCCCTTTATTTGATAACATTACCGAAGTGGGAGCCGGCACTTTATTTAGTGTCAGAACCTTTTCTCGAACTCGTTAACTCGTACCTGTAAAATTACACAGATCTAGGTGGTTAGCTAACCGTGTGCAAAACTACAACGTCATATAACGTATGCTGAGCCACGATCATGAGACAAACACACGCGTAGTACTTCTGTAAACAAACGGTGACTCATTCCCTATTTAACCCTTTACTCATACGCAGCAGGGCACTGAGCTCATGAGGTCACAGAAGGTATAAAAACAACGTGTGGTCATACCTGGGCAAGTTTTCCTGTGGGACTAGACTTGAAGAACTTCAACGTAGTACAGGAAGACAACACCTGCGGAATATGCGGATCACCATTGTAATCGCAGGTAAGGGTAGAGTTATACAAGAAGCAGAGGGTTCCAAGTGGGGTATAAAAACAACTACGTACGTTAACCATACAGCGTAAGGAAAGTAAACATGTGAGAATGTATTGTATAGCATTCGGTCGTGTTAATGATTTTTTTTGCATTGACCATACTACGCATATGAGTCGCAAGACGTATTTAGTACTATAGAATTAGTCTTCCTTCCTGACATCTGGGTTGTAAAATTTCAAACATTACCGGTCACATTTTTTTTAAGTTAATGCAAGTTTGCATCACGATTGCCACCTAAGAAGAAAACAACTACATGGAATGCAAATCATTCTCCGCTGACAAGCTTCATCATGTTTTCTTGGGCCATGACCAGTTTACATTGTGTGTTCTTGTAACGATAGCCATACTTGTGGTGACGTGTGCGGGACAGGTGGACGTCCCAGCTCGCTGCTGCTTACCTAAGATATGGGAAGGCAGGATGGCGACTGTGCAGACTGGGCCTCAAGGTCAAGGTATGTAAAAATAAGTTCACGAGCTGCTTTGCTGAAAATGTGGGCCAGGCGGATCATCAATATCAGTATTTAAATACTGGTGGAAGAAAACAGAAATACCAAGAGAAATCACCATCTACTTAGTAACTTAAACAGAAACTACAAAATGCAACATGCGTCTCTCAGAAAAAAATACGAAAGTATATACATACTAGCTATATATAGTACGCGTTTTGTCTCGGTCGTGACTTGTAAGCTATTGTACTATGTTCGTGCTGTGTATATCTTTGTACTCTTGTTATGAATAAATAAAAGAAAACAGTACTAACAGTAACAGATATACGAGCAGTGTATCCAAACACTGTCATTCTGTGAGTAATACCGAGTCCCAACCTACATTATTATTTTTACATAGGTTTCACGACGACCACGATGAGAATGTCCTACGATTTCTCCATCAAGAAATTCGCTCTTCAGGAAATGAACATGCGTTTTAGGGTTGTTGCAGATTTCAGCAAGGTAACTTTACACGTTTTGCACTGAATACAACATGTTTTGCACTGAAAAGGAACGCATACTTAGAGTAAATGAATGGGCGTATTTTGGTAGGTATGAGTGAGCGTTAGGGGCAGAGAAAAGGAGATGCCAGAAAGTAGCATATACATTGTTCAGCCTGGTGCGGGTGTGGATATTGTCAGGAATGAGATGGGGATCCGGAATTCCACGGCCTTATTCATTGACCATTTTCCCGCCCATGTATGTTGTAATAAAACCGTCCCCTCTGCTCTACCCAGATGATTCAGTACGTCATCACGCCTGACGGGAAGTGCACGACTTCAAAGTTGCCGACCGACATGATGGCCTGCATTCCCGGTAAGGGTCCGGTTACAACCGCCTTACGATCGACGTACGATCGCAAACTAAGAGCGTTCTGACAGTCGTACGTGTGTCTTACAAAATTCCACTGTACTGTTACAGAAAAGGCTGTCTCAGTTCCTTGTCGGCGGTTCGTCCTATCACAGCCTGCTTAAAATTTTCTGCGACATCAAATTCATACGACGATCCGGTTACGGCGGATGTGACCGTGTACAACTTGCCATATGATCTGTAGCAGCTTAATCGATAATTTTTAAAGATTCCACGTTCCACGTTCAGATCATTTTCAACACTTTCTTAGTCAAGGAGTTCAAAGCCATATCTGTGAATACAATGCATATGTTGACTTCAATCCCAGCTAGTCTAGCCTGGAGTCTAGCCTTTTTTGATTTGGTCCGTTTCTCGGGATCCACTACCCCGCCTTGGGGAGCGGGCCAAAGCTAACAAGGCTGGACTCCAGGCTATAACCAGGCGGCATGCAAAACTTTCCTCCATTTTTCCAGACAACGCGACGTTCGTAGAAACTGTAGTGTACGGTGGGCCAGGCGGCATGGTGCTGGATAAGTGGGCGGTGAAAGTACCGGATCCACCCGTCGACGCCGTCGTGACCGTCACCAGGGATGGGTGCGTCTTCGCTAACGAAGCGATCACTGGCACGATTAGCGGAGGTACGGAAGTGTTACATGTTTGGTTGTTACATGGTCTAAAACTTGTTGCTTTCACAGACAAGCACAATACACACAGACACAATTATGTACGTCATTGAATATGCAATAAGCAATGTACATGTACTTTTACCATTTCCAGCGCCGTACTTTCAGGCTATTGAGTTTTCCAACATCACGTACGCTATCACGGACCCTACAGTGTTTAACGTGCCCAGCCCGCCCTGTCCTACTGACAGTAATGGGGTAAGTGATCCAGCGTCCTGGTATCGATCAAAATGAACAGGTCGCTAATAAAGACTAGTCTGTTGCTATTAATTATACCACCATCTTCCTCCGCTTTCTCCGCCTTTATGCCGATCATAATTGGGCTTCTATCTAAAGCCCAGGTACTGTAAAATCACATGCACAGCAGCGTACATATCTGGGTCGGTGCAATTTTTGTTGCAGTTAGTACCATTGCAAGTAATTCACGTTAGGGTGTATCTTTAATTTAGTGTGTTTTAAAATGAGCTGAACAACAGCAAACAGATATTTCATGAATGGCTATAATCTATGGTACAGCGCTGTTCTTGAATCTCGACATACATGTACAGTTTCTAAAATCTGTATGTTGTCTCTTTTACAGAATATGTTGACGGGAAAAACGTCGTTCTTCATGGGACTGTGATTCAGAGGTGGCACGGCAAAGAATTAACCCGGATTCTAGATTTTAGTATTAAAAGCATATAGTCTTATGTGAAGTCAATAAAGGCTGTCTGTATAGAATTTGTTTTCTTTCTACTTTGCTCTGCTGGGAATTCATAGTGGGAAAATGTGATAGAGGATGTGGTAGAAATGTGGATGATCAACCCCCAACATGATCTAGGTCATATGACTGTCACGCGCTCGTACTGCACTAGTACTGATGATATCTTACGTGTCCATTTCATGATCACCATCATCGTTCTTCCTCTTATAACGGTTCAGATCAGAGAAGCCTGCTCTTTTCTGGCTGCTTGGATGTTCTCTTTAAAAAATACATAATGAAAAATGAGTTACGTTGGTTATTTTTTGTGTATACTAAGTAGACTCCCGTTTTTAAGTGGGGTATAACTAAATAAAAAAAGAAGGAAAACTGGAGAGAAGAAACAAGAGTTCTTTTTTTAACCTTTTCAACGGCACAGAGACTTGGACAGAGGAAAGGAGACAATGTATGTGTAGATTCCTTCCTCAATTCTGTAGCGCCGATATTGTATTTACTTTTTACGGGTAAGGGGCTGAGGTCAAGGTATAGACAGAACCTGACGCTTTTGTATCGACTAGTGGACTGAGAGGTCGCCGCTATTATACCGCACTGCTGTAGAACAAATGGGCCGGCAGGGGGCGTGGTCTGGCTCCCTTCTCCAATTCGTCAGGCACAATCACGGCTGTCAAAAAGACGCGGGGAACACAGAAACCCGATATCAGCTGCCCGGTGCGGGTAACCCAAACCTGGAGACGCCTGGAGAACTTCTTGAGTGACGCTCAAGACTTTCCAAGTTAGGAAATCTCCGGGTCTTAAAGCCTGCGAGTTGGGAATTGTGTGTGGGAGAGGCCGAGGATTGGAGGGGGTGTGTTGGGGGAGGACTTAACCAAGGTAAGCCTATAATACAGAGCTCTGGCTTTAGACGGGAGTTTTACGTAGACCGCTGTGTTTACATTCGGGACAGCTGAGCTACAAATAGTGCTAGCTGTCAACGTCGCAAGGGGGACTCAGTCGCTTTGTGATGTGTCAGATCGTGTCAAAACTACTTCCTATTCTATATAGGTAAATAACTGTTCTAATGCAGCAAAACTAGGAAGAATCGGTGATATATTTAGCGAGGAATAGTCGAAAATTGCGAACTATGTACTGCACTAACCCGGGGTTAGATTGGAAGGTATACAAGGCACCTGCCCTCAAGCCGCTATGACGCATGTTGATATTTTTAGGTCCGGGCTTTTCGTGATTACACGTTAGGTCGGAATACCGCGGCTATCTTGTGTGCACTCGTCTATTTTGGTCACTTACGGGACGTAGAAATGATATACATAAAAACTAGACGTTGAGGATTGTTGATAAATACTATAACTAGGGATTTACTGGTTCTGTAGTCAGAACTACCAGCGGCAAACAGTAAACGTACTGATCGAGCTAGGTCACTGCAGTAACTCGTGATGGCATTTAGGGGAGGGTAGGAGTTATCTGAGTCGCCAATTTAGATCAGAAGCACTTAACTGACGTCAGTCCGACACCACTGTTACGCTACTGTTACGCTTATAATTAGCCACGCGTTTGAGGGCAGTGGATGTAATAAGTTTCAACAGCGAGAAATAGCTTGCATTTTAAAATATCATATGTGCTTAGTAGGTGTATAAGCTCTAATCTCAAACGAATGCAAGTGCGTCAAGTGTTCTTAACAGCTTTCAACAGAATCAATACCACTAAAAACCGGACATATCATGTTACAAATACAATTTTACCTGAGTGCATGCAGCGTTGGTGAAAAGTTTGGCTACACGTATGTGGTCCCGATAGAACATCAAACAAATATTGTGTAGCCAGGGTAAAAAGTATTAAACTTTGTGACGTACTTTGACTGAAAAGATCGTTCTAGAACATACACCACACACCGCACCCCTCCTAAATCTCTGACGTCTACAACCATCACAAAGGAATTTAAGGTCACAATACAATTACACTTACGTCTAAAAGCGTACTTTCACTCTGATTTATGGCGTCATAAATAGTACGTGGTTTGCAACAATTAAATTCAACTAAACACAATTAATTGTTGTACCACAATAGTACGAAAACACGTGCCTTTGTAACCACCTTTTTCATTAGTCGTCCTTCGTCCTTGCGAGGTTGTGACGCCGGGAGTCGTCAGCGATGTTGGGCGGGGCGTGTCGCACCTGCTTCCGCCAGCTCGCCCAGCGCCAGGCCGCTGCCGGCCCGCTCCGCCTGGGGGCAGCCGCCAACATTGCCACGCCTGGCATCGGGAGAACAGCCCAGAGGTACGGCTAGCTGCAAGCAACGAGCTGTCAAATACAAAATTAATACTGTAATCTTGCCTACAACGACGTAACGAGCTACTAAGTATTAGATTATTTGTATACCTATTGTATACCTATTTGCATTGTTCATCTAACTGTAAAATTCTTTTGCTGATGACTAACTTCAGTGTGTCATCATCTTGTCTGTATTTCTTTATTTCTGTTTTGGTAACAAGTTGAGGAAATAAGCTCACTGTTTTCAAAACAAAGATGTAAATCTGAATATATGATTTAAGTTCGTCCTCAGAATATAATTTGGACATGACTCATCTCAAACCTCAAACCTAAATTTCTAGCACTCAACAGCCTTATACTTACATGCACGATTGTCTCCACATGTTACATGTGTTTTATATCGTTGCCGACACGTTTAGATGCCTTGCGATGGAGAGTGTTGCGGCGTTAGGGGCGGGGGCAGCCGTCCTGGGCGGCGGGGTGCTCATGAGAAACCGGCCCCGTCCGGTCACGCCACCTTGCGACCTCGGCATGCAATCCCGAGAAGTGCCCGTAAGTACCAATATACTGTGCGCAACGGCCGAAACTTTGACGACATTTGATTCTAAACGCGACTGTTCCCTCTATATATGTGTGAAAGTTGTAACCGTTAGAGTTGAAGCTACGTTTGACAAAAATCGTATTTTGGCCAAGTGAAGCACAAATGCAGCCTAAAAACATGTTTTTTGGCGTGTGATATAGGGAACGGGGGGAGGGCGAATCGCGGCTTTTCTAGAAGAGGACAAGTTGGTGGAATCTTGCTATGACGGCATGCAGACTCTTCACGATGTCTTCAAGCGTGGAGCAATGGTCTCAAGTAAGTATACACATGTACTTCCGCAACATAACCACGCGAACACGTTGTACTTCACTTAAATGGCAACGAGCGGGGGGCGGGGGGTGAATTCCCCTCTTTTCACCCTGATTTATGATTATTGGGAAGACAATTGTGACATTCTATTCGCTGTTGCAATAGAAAGGATGAAATGAGATGAATTATCAGTGAATACGGCCCCAACAGTCTCACCACGCGAAATTGCGTTGGTCCTGTCCTTGGTGCTGAAAGCACTATCTGGGGAACAACACACCAGCATTCAACATGTATTATGTGCTGACGACAAAGAATATGGCATAAGAGCGATATTATTCTCGTCTTTAATGTTGACAAACTCGGATTCTACTATTTTTTTTACCTATTTTGTCTTGACAGAGCTTTTAAACTAGATGAGTACTGAAGTAATAGTAAAAGGCATGGATGTTTAATGGTGTACTTCTTTCCTTCACACAGATAACGGTCCGTGCCTGGGGTGGAGGTCAGGACAAAACAAACCTTACGAGTGGGTCACGTATAACGAGGTACATCCTACGTTCATGTATTATATCATAATGGTGCTGTTAATGCAAATGCATATTTGGGCCATACTCACTAAATAATGACTGACAGAAACCCATAAGTATGCAGAATTTACTATTGGCAGTTGGAAAATAAATTCTGCAATGTCCTGTAACAGTTACATTGTTGTAAGCATAAGTTTTCTGTTCTCCAGATGGTTTGGATTTTGTTTTGACATACAATGTATTCATGTTGCAAAGGTGCAAACTTGTATAATAAAACTGAAGACCACCTTTGTGTTGATGGCAGCTAAGGTGATTGGTTGATTGATTGATTGATTGACAGGTACTGGACCGTGCGGCCCACTTCGGATCAGGTCTGATCGCCCTGGGCTGTAAACCCAACCAGACCAGCTTTGTGGGGATTTTCTCACAGAACAGAGTCGAGGTGAGGCTTCATCCATACATGTACTTCATTCAAGAAAAAGAAAGATATTATCTGAAAGTACTCAAAATTTGCAATGCTACTTATATTAGAATGTTTTTCTAGCATCAATGCCAAAAGTCTGAGCTACATTTTGCAAGAGAAGAGAAATCTTGTAGCTGATCTAGAGTTATGCAGGTTTCAGTAGAGTCATGCAGGTTTCATAGCAAATGTTTTTAATTCTTAAAAGTCTAATGCTCTGTCCTCCTCTTGTGTTGCCAGTATGTCGTTGCTGACCAGGCGTCTAACATGTTCTCCATGGTAACGGTCCCCATGTACGCCACCCTGGGAAGGAGTGCCCTGAGGTTCATCATCAACCAGGGTAAGTGGGCCATCATGAACCAGGGTAAAAGTACATGTAGTATCGTTAGCAACCATTGACTAGATTTATGCATGTTACAATCACAATTTGGTGGTGGTGGTGATATAATTTTATGTACATTCCATTATAACAGGTTTATTTTCATCATTTCACCAATGTCCAAAACATGACATTGTCCATAATTGTGTATTTAGGTAGTGCATCATAATCTAGATGTTTGGCTATCTAAGGTTACCACTATGTAAGACACATGTAAGCGTTAATCATCAATTTGAAAAACTGACAGTAGCATCTTTGTCAGTCTACCATCATCAGCCAGGCAACAAGTACCACAAACAACCATTGGTATACTCTTGTGCAATCTAGTTCCCTAATAGATTAATAATAACTACATTGCACAAGACTATACCGATTGGCTGTACCTGTATAGTACACATTGTATAAACCATACCTATCAACATATCTGATGCTATTTCACTGTCTTTCATGTCTCTACAGCCCAACTGGAAACTGTCCTGTGTGACGAGGAGTCCAAGGTCATGCTGCTGCTGACCTTCATCAGTAATAACCAGGTGTCCACCATCAAAAGAATCATCACCACGGAGGTCATGGCTGATGAGGTCATCCTGATGGCAGAACGACATGGTGTGCAGATGCTGGCCTTCAACGAAGTTGTGGTGTGTTTATTATATTATTTTGTATTATATTTTTTTGTTGAAGAGGTTCATTAGTCACATGTAGATCAACAGTAAGATATTCTTCAATCAGTGACTTTTGATAGGTAATAAAACATGTACCTGAAGTCACTGCTTAAAGAAAGTTCTACAGTACTATGATCATTATGTTTTTGGTTGTTCAGTTTAATTTAGATTTGCGTACATTTCACAGAGTTACTGAGAATTTGGTACTAGTTTCCCTGAACTTAAGACTTCACAGACAAAGACAGGTTTTTGCAAAAGACGTGTAACGTTGAAAGTTATGGTTCCCTTATGACCAGTTTGTGACTTTCCCTGTTCTTTTTTCCCTTACAGCGGTTGGGTCAGCAACAGCCACATGAGCCAGTGGTAAGTTCAAAACCTTGACATAGATACATGTATGTAGAACAAAACAGTAATGAAGCAAGTAGACATTATGTCATACTTGTGGTAACAAACAGAAGCTTTGCATTCAATTAAATCATCACATGAAGATATTTCCCGATATTATTGTAACTGTATATATATATTGTATAGTTGAGTCCTTCCGGGCCAGGCTGGAGGCCTGCCCGCCTTAAACCAAGCCCCCCCCCCCTAAAGTGCCCCATCAGGGGCTATATGGGGGTGTAGCCGGGGCTCACATAACATCTTTGAGCCCCGGCAAAGATGAAGATGAAGTATAAAAGCCTATGGAAAGTAGTGATCAATACTGACATTTTTCCTTCAGCTACCCAGCCCAGATGACTTGGCTACAATCTACTACACCAGTGGCACTACAGGTAAAACACTTATAAAAACATCTCTTTCTCAACTATTTACTATTAGACTGTACTAAATTCTGTTACATTTTCAACAGCAATAGTTCAAGTCTATGATACTTATCACAAGTCATACAGGATTAATATAAAAGTCACTGTAGTACAATCTGGTTTCTGTACATTTACAATTATAGGTGACCCAAAAGGAGCCATGTTAACACATCGGAACCAGATAGCTGAACTGGGAGGAGCTGTGGGACATTTCCAGGTTAGTACTAAGATATACTCATTGGTATCTTCATCTAACAATACATTGGGAGACAAAGGTCTAAGAAAGATGTTTTATATGTGAGGGGTATTGGTACATCTTGAGATGGGTCTCTTGTTCATTGTGTATTTGAAAAAAAAGAATGTTGCCAGGTAGATCCACAAACAGTGGACTCCTATAATGTAAAGCGCCAAACTTTGCTGATTTTTTGCACTGTGTTCCAAGTTAAACATTTCAGACTATTTTGTCTGGTTCCCAGGACACTATCAAGTTTGGGCCAGATGACATCTACATCTCCTACCTGCCTCTGGCTCATGTGATAGAGAGGATCATGCAGGTATGTCTACTACATGTGTTTCAAAACAACTCTCATCAATGTTGTGTATATATGTTTTTAATAACAGTTAAAAAGGCAACATTCCTTTCAAGAATGTTTGGAAATGTATGACTGACAACCACCCCAACTTAGGCTGGCAAATAAAAGGTACCAGTACTACAAAGATAACCTGATATAAATCCCTAAAAGATGCCAAAAACAAGCCGAAGCCTATTGGAGAGTACAGCCTCACTACCTTGTGCACTTGTGCTCCCCTGCAGCTGTACCTGTTCACCCACGGCGCCAGGATTGGGTTCTACAGAGGTGATGTGAAGGAGCTGATGAGTGACATCCAGGCTCTCCAGCCGACCTGCATGGCCACTGTGCCGCGTGTGCTCATCAGGATACATGATGCGGTGAGGTATTCCTCATAAACATGTAGTATGGTCTACTGATCTGGATACATGATGTCGTATGACAATCCTTATATGCCCCGTGTACTAATCAGGATCCATGATAAGGTATTATATAGGCATTTCTTCTGAACACGTTGAATGAAAATCTACTGCAGAAAGTCATCATATCATCATGGGTAGCTTGCTTGCCACCATCGTATGCTGTATGTTATAGGTGTTTGGTCTCTGTTGTAGACCACAGACTGATATCATTGAAATGCTTTATGTTGCTGGCAGTTAAAATGTTGTACAAAGGATAATTTGTTACATGACTGTCACAATATTTAGGAAATCCTTGTTGTACACTTATGATTGTCCAACATTTTCTTTATAGGTTATGGCAAAGGTGCAGCGCAGTTCTCTGAAGAAACGTCTGCTGAATGCTGCACTTCAATCAAAGGAAAAGCAACTGGTCAAGTATGTAAACAATGGGTCATACAATTGTTTCTTAGTTTGGTGCTTCTTGCTTCATTAATTTTTAGTACAATTACTAGTCTTGCATCATCTGATCATAGGTTAAAAGTTCATGAATTTGTTATGAATGTCAAACTTTATATACCATATATTGCAGGGGAATCCTCAGACGAGACACCATTTGGGACAAGTTACTGTTGAAGAAAGTGCAGGTATGTTCCAAGGGGGACACATCATTTCAGTTTTTCATTTTAGAGCATATAGATTAACAGGCACAATACTATACAAACCTATAAACAAGAAGATAAGGTGACAGAAATGATTGGGTGACATTTACATTCATGCAAAGAAAGTGTCCAGTTGTAAAAGTGCAATGAGTAACATATCATGGTCTCTGTTGTATGAATGTGTGGTTTGTCCAGGTTGCAATACACTGTTTTCAGACATAACTTTTCTTACCCTATTAGCTTGTGTTTGGCAAATACTAACTCTATGTGGTGTTGTTGTTATCAGGAACAGCTTGGGGGAAGGGTCAGACTGATGTTCGTGGCAGGAGCCCCGATTTCTGGGAAGATCCTCACCTTTACCAGATGTGCCTTTGGTGCCAATGTAAGTAGTTTTCTCCATCTCTTGCCTTTATACATGAATATCCAATGCAGTGTTAGAAGAAAAAACATGTATTAATGATGCTATGGGCTCTAAAATGTGTCATCATTTATTTCCACCATTCCCAGGTGTTTGAAGGTTATGGTCAGACTGAGGTTTCTGGATCAGGTACATTCACCATCCCGGGGGACAACTCAATCGGTAAGTTCAACTTTTAACCTCTATCTCAACAGTCTAATTTCTATGTGCCATTGTTTAAACAGAAAATTTTTAGCCCCTCCCACCTCTCTAATTACAGAATCTTAAAGTTTATCTCTTCATCTTCGTGTTGTTTTGCCAGGTCATGTTGGAACGCCATTGGCCTGTAACCTGGTCAAACTGGTGGATGTGCCTGACATGAACTACTTCACAGAAGACAAGCAGGGAGAGGTATGTTTTACTTATCATTATTGACAAACACTGACTACAAAAATGAAGTGCTTTAGTTTAGTATGTTTAAAAATATTTTACCATGATGACCTTTCATATGATTTTTGCACTGGTGATGGCAAAAAGTATTCATTGCATATTGTTCTTAATCGATATCAATCCAGAACATTGATGATAAAGCAACGATGTTAGAAAAAATGCCACCTTGCTGTTTGGAAATATATTCTATATATAAAATCTATACTATGCAAAAGGGGCCAAACTATGTGCTATTCAATCCAACAGGTGTGCTTCAAGGGACCAAATGTCTTTAAGGGCTACCTGAATGACAAGAAGAACACAGATGAGACCATTGACAGTGATGGTTGGGTGCACTCTGGAGACATTGGCATGTGGCTACCTGTATGTACACCACAACTCTTAAGATTAAGGCATCTGTAGTATACAGTAGTACTTAATGTCAGAAATCATGCTTACTTTTATGCTTGTTTTCTGTTTGTTAACCATGTAGAAGAATATCCCGTAGGTTTAAAAAATGACTTTACAAAGATGATTCTTATGTTGTAAAATTCTAAATTTTCCATGAATTGCGATAATTGCTGTGTCAGACAGTTGGTGAGTAACAATTTAAGGCTTTGACCAATAACATCAGTTCACATTCTATTACAGAATGGAACTCTGAGGGTGATTGATCGTAAGAAGAGCATCTTCAAGCTGGCACAGGTGGGATATTTTGAGTCGTAACCTTTATAACTTCATCGTTAGTGTACAGCATAATACCAACTGGTAACAGTTCCAGGTTTAATGTCCTTGTGCCGTTGTAGGGTGAATACGTGGCCCCAGAGAAGATAGAGATGGTGTACAACACATGTCCCCAGGTGGCACAGAGCTTTGTGTATGGAGACAGTCTGAAGGTAATGTGTTCTCAATAGAGCAACAATTGATTGCGTTAATCAATTATTGACTGTCATTTCACTTAACTTATTCTTAAGACAAGCCTTGTTTATTGTTCTCAAGTTGTCATCTTTGAAAGCTTAATTTGATTTATAAGTTACAGTAGTTATAAATATATTGACACTTTTGAAACCAGGAGGAGGAGAATTTGTTATTCTTTTCTAAAAAGTTTATTTTCCTCCAACAACGCAACAATCCGTCGTTTAATACATTCTGATGCCTTCTACAGGAATTCATTCTTTCGGAAGACCTACCATTTATTATGCTTTTAGGTTTCTTCCTGTTTTACTTGTATGTCTGTAGAGTTTTTTGTATTATTTTAATGATGTATTGTACAATGTGTTATATGGGTTTTTACCTGAAATAAAGAATGAATGAATAAATAACTGGTACCACTCTTTGGTTCAATAATAAGCCCTTGGGCCACACAGCAGTGCAATCACTACAGCAGGGGGCTGGTCCACTGGTAGTGGTGTGTGTTTAACTACCATACTCTTACCAAATGCTGAGTGCTAATCAGATACAATTTTTGAAAGTCTCTGGTATGACATGGCTGGGGATTGAACTCACAACCTGTTGAACCTCAGAATCTACAAACTTGGCCATTGCATCAGTAAATGTAGTACACTTTTTTCTAGGCATCCCTGGTGGGAATCATTGTACCAGACCCTGATGTTCTGATATCCTGGGCTGCTCGCAAGGGGATCGGTGGGCACATGGATGCCCTCTGCCAGAATGAGGTAAAACTGCAGGTCTATGTTGAAACAGATCAATTGTGAATGAATGAGTAGAAGCAAAAGATGTAAATGGAAACCATTAATTTTGATGAAACATCATATAACTGGTCATTTCTAAGAATCCTTTAAACAAGATACCAAACCATAGAATTTTAAATGAAGAACGAGACGTACAAAATGGCCTTTGCTTGCTGTTAAGTTCTAGAAGTTTCACAATCTTGTAATCACCACATGATTTTTCTTTTCAGGAAGTCAAAAGTGCCATCTTCCACAAAATCTGCACCATCGGTGATCAGGCGGGTCTTATGGGGTTTGAACAGGTAATGTCACTTTTAATTTGTTAATCTGATTGCAAACGTCAAGTCAATTCCATCTTTAAAAAAAAAAATCTTAAGTTTGACGTGATTGTTAAGGTCACACCAGTTGGAATTGTGGATCTGAGATATAAAAAATAATGCTTAACTGAGAAATCAACATCAAAAGGAAGCCTGACTGGAACATCAGTACCTTGGTTCCAGACCCACCACACCACAGACAATTTATTGGTGTTGAGGTCCATAATTTTTGTCTGATTAGATTAAACCTATCAGTTAAGTCTTACACAGCTTGTACTTCATGTAGAAAAGGGATAACATACCATTTGTTTAAAAATAAATGGCGTCTTATGCCTTGATACTGGTTATGGGATATGCAAGAACAAACACTAATTTGTAACATTTTTTGACCTGCGTAATTCTTCCCTTGTCCTGACCAGGTGAAAGACATCTTCCTGTGCCCAGACCAGTTCACAGTGGAGAACGGACTGGTCACTCCGACCTTCAAACTCAAGCGCAGCCAGCTGAAGGACACATTCCAGACACAGATAGCAGACATGTACCAGACACTGGACCTGGCCAGGGACAACAACAACAACGACACAGCCAACAACATCAACATGAACATCCCGAATGTGGAGCTCAAACAGGGACAGTAGTGGCCATCGTTTTCCTGTCCTTCATATCATACTTCACAAAACATTGCTTAGTCAAGTGTACAAAATCTAACTACCATATGAAAGGATGGTATTTTTTCCATTGGTGTACTGACCTCCAAAAACGTGTGTACTATACTTTTTAGTGCTTGAAAGTGCTTGTTTGTTGTACATTTATACTACATAGTTGACTATATCCCTTTGAATATTGATGGTTAAAAGTATACAACGTCATGTGGATGTGTATGTACGTGTTGGTTGAAGCTGGTGTCAGAGTATGGGATAGGAGGAAGAAGGTTAAGGGACAGGGAAAAGAGAATGCAGTTGAAGGAATGAGAAATGCAGGAAGGTTGGACTTGGAATATGTGTGAAAACTTGTAGGACAATAGAGGAATGAAAGAGTTTATTAATAAGAGATGGCTGGAGGATGGAGAGATGGAAAAGGTCTGAGTGTGGTATCGTTGCAGATAAATGGGAGAGAGAGGAAGAGCATCATTCAGCAATGAATGCCGTTTAGTAGGAATGATTTTTGACTGATGAGCAAACCAAAGGCTTGTGTAGCAAGCATAATGAGGAACAGTAACTTGAGAGGATAACCTGTAACATGTAGGGGAAACACACTTGTTCTTGTTATAAAAACATCACAGAAAAGGGAAAAGTTCATTTTTTTCATTCACGTTGAGGAATTATATAGACAGTGAGTCTCATATTTAAGACTTCAAGCTTGTGTTTATCATGTGAAACTTTATGTTTGTACATAAGATGGTTTCAAGCTTGGGAGTCATGATTATCTTGTTTGGTTTGGACATGAATATACTGAGCAAACATGCAGATATACCTTTACTTTTACTACTGAAGTCACCTGGGGAGTTAATGACTTGTCAATGACGTACAAGGGTGCATGTACATGTAACTGCTGTACTATAAAAGCTACTATGCAAAAGGTAGCCTTTTTTTACAGGAATATAGAACCATTTGACTAGTCAAACTGACAAGTAATGGTGAATCACATCTCTGAGATGTATTTGTATTACTGCCTGGTTTACATGGCACAGTAACTTTACACTCAAGCCAAGTGTACATCTTTGTAAATTTACTATTTGTTGTGGTATATTTCAATAAATATCTCTGTCTGTACGACTAGAAGAGCACCATTGGATGTGTACTAGATTCACAACCACAATACAGTAATCTGGGTCCAGTTTTAGCTCACTGAAGAGCTAATCACCCACTGGTAGTGACAGAGAAGACAGATGCTATACGTGCAATATTTCCACATTCCCTTGGCTCTTTAAACAGTGAATAATGTCTTAATGTCGACTGGAACACTTTACAGTAGGATGCCAGTAAGAGTGGCAATGGCCAGGGTTCAAACTCTCAGCCTCTTGTCTTACCCCAGGGTTGCTAACATGCCCACACATTTTGATGACCTATTGGGCCAATGCACACACATTTTGATGACTCAAATGACCCAGGTACACACATTGTGGTGACCCAATGGCCCAGGTACATGTAACACATTTTGGTGACCCCATGGCCCACATGTACACACATTTTGCTATGGTGACCCAATTGGATCAGGTGCACACACTTTGGTGACCCAATGACTCAGGTACACACATTTTGGTGACCCAATGACTCGGGTGCACACATTTTGGTGACCCATGACCCGGACCAACACATTTTGGTGACTCAAAGGCCAATCTAGACAAAATGGCCAATGTGCACAAATTTTGGTAACCAAATGCCCCATTTACATGTACATTGCATGATGTACACACATTTTGGCATTCCACATGGCAGCCGTCTGCATACACGTGTACTTGGTGGGCAGAACTCATACAGATAATGAGCAATCTGCGATAAAACTATCCACTAATGTTATCTCTTATCTGCTGACAGACTATTAGATTTCTTTATCTCATCTACTAAATGTATGTAAAGTGCATTTTTCAAATCATCTGATAGTCCCAACTGTGTTCCAAACCTTTCTGCTACAAATTTGGGGTCATCATCCTGAAAAACAACAACAACAAAGAAATTATTTAGAGACTCGGTACATGCACTGTAACTCTAACATCTTTTTTCCACAAACAAATCTTAAATTTACAGTATGTTACAACTTTATGTACACAATGTGCCACAATTAGTCTGTGATAAAATTGCATTGACAGCTCATGATCATAAATACATTATGTACATGTAAGCTGTTAATTGAAAAGGTCATTGCAACTGAAAGTGTAATTTTATCATCAACAATTAACCCAAATCTCTGTGTTAAACTGACATTCAATTCATTCGACTTGTATATACAATTGTAAATGATTATTCCAGTGTTTACTTTCATCTTTGGGCATCATACATGTTAAATCTCATAACCCTTTAACTAAGTACTAGTAGTGTCAGGAAGAGAACTTGTTAACAAGAATCATTCAAAGGTATGTCCAACTTACATACCTCATAGATAATGATGTCTGTTATGTCTCCACTCTTAGCTTCATACTCCAACCGAAACAGTGCTTTTCTCCGGGGTAATTCATGCTCATCTGATGATGAGTTACTTTTCTTTGCATCTGTAGTGGAGAGATTTTGGTGCACAGTGAAGAAGTGAAGATTGTTTTAATTAGATCAACAAAAATAGAATTACCATACTAGTACATGTATGTTTGATCATATGTGACAATTAAGGGGAAAAAAATCTGAATGTTTTTAAAATCAAGACAAAGGCTAAAGTTAAAATTGCATTTATTCATCTGACAGCAACTTACTTAAAGATGTACTTCATGCTAATATGTTTAATATTTTGATGAAAAAGCACTGTAGATTAGTATAATTTTCTGTATTTTGAGAGACCACTGCAGGCTAGGCTTTCAGCCCGTACCTGTGTGGTTCTCGCGCTTGGCACGTGGTCTGTACACCACCTGGTCAGGCTTCTTGGGACGGACTGAGGCTTGTGTGTGTCGGGGTCTTCTCTGGCCCTGCTTGGCCTTCTGCTCTTTGTCATAGTCGTCCCTAAAAGTCAGAAAGTCACTGAAAATTAATGTCATGAACGCCCCCCCCCCCAAGGATTCGAAGACATGAAGTAAAATATACGATTATGACGCTTCGGTCAGTCTACAAACCAGCCTAGGCTACTCCCCAACTTACCTTGATTTTTGGTTCCGCCGTATGTGGTGTACAAACCCATGAGACATGTCCAGTTTGGCGGTTTTCTCTCCGGACGAGTCGCCAAAATGTCCACTTGACGCCATGTTGTGACCTCTGACACAGGCCGTAGGTCAACCCGTCAACCTGATTTCCAAGCAGATGTCGCAGTGGAGTGTCATAACGTTTTGTGACAGCTACTCAAAAGAAAATTATAATCAAGCCTGGCAGTAAGTCGTTATGAAAAGTGAAATATTACTTAAGAGGAAGTATGCAAATAAGGCCAGAATAGAAAGATATTTGCTATAACATGCTGATGACTGGTTTAATACATGACTAACATGCTGATGACTTTTTCGTGACCTGATGTGTTGTCCCTCAAAACGCATGGAAACCCCATTAGAATATTTATTGAATCAAGTCAACATGAGGCGAACAACACAGCTTGCAGTCTTGTGACATCAGTCGGCTAGCAGTTAAATATAACCGTGCCTATCAACAACTTACACTTCACAGATTGCTGACACTTGCATTGTGACAAGATTATATTTGGCGTGCCTCCAACCGACTCTGTTAGTGTAGATTTAACTCTAGTCAGCTTAAATCTTGCAAGGGGGGATGTAGAGCAGTTAATCTTGTCAAAAGCTCAGCCTGGTCAGGATCCCAAAGGAGGACAAAACGACTGACGAAGTGGTTTTCTTTTTCACAAACAACTTCGCGCCTTCTAGCTTGGCAGCCGAGACGCAGTTTCCCCGCCAGAAGGTATAGGCATTTTCTTGTAAAACATCATTCTTAAATACAGTATTGTCTATAGGATAACTGTACATGTGTATGTAAAGATAGAATATAACCATTTATCAGATGCTGTACGAGTATCCTGTATCAAAGATTGTGGGCTAAAATCATGATTCCACAAATCTCCCTCTTCCATTCTTTCAAACATGAGCGCTACCAAAAGGCACTAAGCGTAACATTTACAGTCAACGACTTTTGCATTTATCAAAGAATGCAGTGACTGTCATTTCAATAGTGTATAGGTGACCATAGTGATAGAGTTTGCTAGCAACAGAAAACAAGGATAGTAAATGACCGTTAAACAGCACCAGACCTTTTAGCATAAAGTAGTAGCAATGCATACTCTCAAAGCTCCAATACTGTAAAAGTATGAACTGACGACGCACTTTGTGCCCAAGACCGTAGCGTCTGTACCTTCTAACTATATGTCAAAGTCGCAGCTTGTTGTTCAGAGCCGACTGTTCAGCTGAAGAACTGAGCGGATAAATATCACGTCAACACGACGAGACGCAGCTGTTAAGGAGTAGACAACAAACTCCCACAAGTTACGGTCTGGACCGAGTCCAACATCAGGCCTTACTTTGGTCACGGGGGCATCATGCCCGTAGCCAGGATTTTAATGTGTGTGTGTGGGGG